AATATTTCTATAATAAGTTATGAAATATTCATGCAGCACTGAAGAGTAAGCATTTTTGTCCCCCACCTAATGAAAACAGATTGGAGCTGATTGGAAAAAATGGACAGATTTTTTTTTTTTTTTTACCATTCAAGATGAATGAAATGCTGAAGTAAAGTAAAATGCCTTAACAGCAAAGACTAAATAAAATTGTAAGGTTCAACCTTCATTAAACCATAAATGGACTGTATCTATTCAGCCTAAGAAGTAAATGCAGCTATAAAGTATCTTGATCAAATATGGCACACTTTGGCTTTTGTGCTTTTCCTGAAAATATGCATCAAAAAGATTGAAAGCTTCATTTAATCTCATCTTGTTCCTCAGATCTAGAAAGTATACCACCTTAGCTCGCCTTTTCTGAGCAAAGCCTGTTTTGCATTCATAAAAAATGGAACTCTACCTGAGTACTGGAAACCGAGATAGAAACCGAGAAGAAATACTGTTTTCCATTCTCTCCAGGGTCCTACATGATCCAGCTGTCATTTAAAAGGGAGGAAAAATACTCAAATTAGGGATGAAAAACTGTAAGGGATTTGGATGTGAAATTTCAGTAAGAGAAACTTGAATTGGGTTTTTCTATTTTGCGTAAAATGCACAAGAATAAAGATCCCTGGAATAGCATACTTTGCTTTCCAGCACCCCACATCATATTACAAACTATTCCCTAAGTTCAATGGAATGTAATGCCATTGTTCTCTGGACTGCAGATTAATAGACAACTATTAGTTTCATCTTGACTAATTTATGGCCGTATATTCCTATAATTCTTTCCTCTAACATTAGGCAATTAAATTGTTTCTGTCTGGGCTTTGACACTCTTATTTAAACCAGAGAAAGCATTAATCTGCTTTCATTTCACTGATCATGGTCTACTGGGAGACTAGTGATCATGGTCTACTGGGAGACTAGTGGACTTCCTTTTGTAATTGTAATTGGTTAGTCACCATGAGAACAGACTGCTGGATTAGATGAGCAAAGAGTCTGATCCAGTAGGGCATCACTTATCTTCTTATAGACTGTATGATGAGGGATATGAATCTACAGATTAATACATGATAGATTAAGGGACTTGTGCCTGACAGAGAAACTGGAGTTCACAGTTATGGATTCCATTAAATATATAATGTACCCTTATCAGTGTTACTGGCTAGAGTCTCAAAATGCTGCTTGAGGAACTTTTCTTGATCGGGAGTCGTGGGAACATCTCCATCCAATAATCCAGTGTTTACATCTTCCTCATCTTCTTCACCCACTTGCTCATCCAAGTCTGAAGTGCCATCCACACTGAGAGGCTCTGTACTTTCAGAATCTGAAATGAGAAATGATACACATCATATGCAATTTATACAAAACATTATATATCAGTGAAACCTGAAATAATATATTACACTAACAGAAAAATTCTTGGACCATTCCTCTGTAACAATTCTGGGCGCATGGGGACAGTACTATTATTGTTATTCTATTTTCCAAATATATATCATGGTATAATCAAATTGATTCCAATGATTCAGAATTTAGCCAAGGACTTAAGAATGAGGGAATATAGTATAATATGTTCACAGTCCCAAGTATTTCACAAAATTAGTCTATCAAGTCCAATAAATTTAAATTTTCTAAATAGTTTGGAAGTATATCAAGTTATAGTCATAATTGGCATGGCAACTGATATTTTTCACCATAATCTTTTAAACCTCAATTTTTAAATCACAATATTCTGTTATTTTTCTCCAGTTGATTTTCATCCATTAAACTGTCTCTGGCTTATCAGTGAACCGTATCTTTTTGCTATAACAGTAATACCTGGTGTATTGTGTTTTTATCTGTCTACCAGTTTGAATTTTGAAAACCCACCAAATGTTGATCTCACTTTGCAAAACTTTTCAGGCACAGGATCCCTGTGGCATTTGTAAACAGCCAAATATTCCACATAAATAGCAACGGATATTTTTCCCAACCCTATTATGATGTTTATGCTCTGTGGGGGTTGTTTTTTTTCTACAGCACTAATAAGCACTATAATTTTAGGTTTACTTTTACAACATCATCATCATTATAATCTCCCTTTTCTCTTCAAAGCCTTTTCCTTGCAATGTTGTACAAGAAGGATTCAGTCTGGAATATTAATTTTTCAGCTGACATCTATTGGCTTGTTTGTCTAACTATTGCTATTTGCTCTTTTGGAAAAAACAAGGAAGGGGAAAGCTATTCTTTGTCCTTATTTGAAGAACAACTTCATGGAGAAAGAAACGTTACCCTCAAAGAATTAATTCACCTAATTTTAAACTCTCATCCCCATAATAGTACAGTAGTTTCAGTAAACTATTTCAGTGAGTTTCAGTGAGCCTTGCCAGATCTGTGAGACAGTTGGCCTGTTCAGGTCCTTGTCAGGCTGTTCTGCTAGGCCCATTTTTCTATGATTTTTTATTGCATATATAGAGAATCTTTTCACCAAATAAACAGAGGACAAACAACAATTTCATTCTTAGAAACTCAAGAATCCAANAAAAAAACATTGAGTATCAATTTGCTCCTTCTTGTCATCAGATGTAGGAATTAGCTTTCCCTTTTGATCAGTGTCTGCCCAACTCAACCCACCAGTAACTACATTTTGTAGTGAGGACTTGTGATTTCTGAATGAAAACATTAAGAATTTTCAGCCTCAAAGACAGATTACTGTCATAGAATCATCACTCTAACCATTTCATAGAAGGCACTTCCTTACCATTATGAACAAGATCGTGAACTGATTGGGATTTCCGCAGCATCACCGCTCCATCACTATCTGGGAAAGACCCTACAGATCTTCCACGTCCTCTGTTGATCTCTACAGCAGGCTTCCTTTTTTTCTGCATATAAAGTGACCTAATGGAATTAACATCGTTTTGAAAGAACCCATTCTCTGTGAGCATGTGCTGATGGTCAAGCCCATTTTTCAGCAGTTCATTGGTAAGTTGCTTTGGCAAAGCAGACCCTTCAGTAGATTTCTTATCCAGTAACAGCTTTGATGCAGAAAATGAGGGTTCCCTATGGAATTGAAGACAAAATATTTGATTGACAATTATATGCCATCATAATGTCACATTTCTACCATCTACTACTACACAGCATCATTATGTTGCATTCTTGCTAACTACTATAAAATAGAGTAGTTCTAAAAAGGTGTTTCCTAAAGTCTTTAAAAAATATTTAAAGCTAATTCTTTCCACACAAAAAACTTTCTTATGGAACAGTTGCCAATAAGAACAGAAGCACTAATCCTGCATGGCTATATCTGACATAATGATTTAGGGAAAATAAGGAATTTGTGCTATGCAAGGCATAGTAACTACCAGAGTAATTTCTTAATATGAGATAGTTGAGATCTTACTGCGAGATAGTTGGCATGGCTATGTCTGACTAGAAGATTTAGTGAAAAGGAGGAAGTTGAAGCAACTAAATCAGTTGTTCTGGTCTCTTGTATGCTGACAAAAAGAAAACCAAATACTTCCCAATAGAACAAACATCTTTATCCAACACGCAAAAACAATAAGATTCACATTCCATCATGCGTAATATTTCTATAATAAGTTATGAAATATTCATGCAGCACTGAAGAGTAAGCATCTTTGTCCCCCACCTAATGAAAACAGATTGGAGCTGATTGGAAAAAATGGACAGAATTTTTTTTTTTTTTTTTTTTTTTTTTACCATTCAAGAT